GCCAATGATTTTTAGGTAGGCCTGCAAATCATGCTACAGGAAAACAGCCCAAACTATTAAGGAATCTCGAACAAACTTGCACAATACTTTGTTTAAAACTTAGATCTATAGCCTCATTGGATTTATGCCACACCTGAAACCTAACATTAGCCCAAAAGTTTGGAACAGTGACTCATTGGACCATACTACATGTTGTCAGGCCTCCAGGGTTCAATTAGCAAAGTTATGTCATAAGCCTAGACTTGTGATCGCAAACAGCAGCATGTTAGTGGTTCCTCTGTTCCTATATCCCATGAAAGAATGCTATCCTAACCTGCTAGATATGCATCTGGTACATTCTGCATTGAAGACAGATGCAATTTTGGCCAGTGTTACTCATCTGTTATTGCATACAATTGTAACCAGATGCCTGTGGACATGATCATTAAGTATCTGTACTCAGTACTATGATATCTACAGTGAATTATAATGCCTTCCATCAGATATTCCCTGTACACACATGACACTGATGATCATTGGCCCCACAATTTCAGAAATACAATGTCCATCCATCTGATACCTATAATTCATACTCTGATAATTCACATTACCTTACTATGACAGATAACTGATGTTCATACTGATATGCTAGGTGTCAAAGAACAACTGATGTATGCCTGGATATTTCCATGACATCATGTTATGATGGCATCTCCTAACATTATCTTTACATACTGCTATAGCATGACTTTTGGCACGTCAGAGTATACTGGTCAACACAACTGTCCTAATATGATAAGCAGAACAGCATGGGCCAGAAATAAAGGATAAGCTACATGCATCAGAATTAAGCAGCATGGAACAGAAATAAATGCTACCCCCCTGGCAAGAGATTGTTTTTTGAAAATGTTTCATTAATATTTAATGACATTCATGAACAGTTTTTATCTTCTTGTTATTGATGTTGTTATTACAATGTTTTTCTTGGTTTTGATTGACTGGTTCTCAATCCATTCTTTAGATTAATAACGAACAAGCTAAAATATTATGAAAAACCATAAACAAAAGTGAAAATAACCCTAAAACGTAAGAGTAATCAAGTATAAACCTCAGAATTAATAGCAATATTCAAATTAAATGTTATACCCAAAATGCAACTGATAATGTTGATTTAATTATTAGTCAATTGCACTAATACTTACTAAAAATTAAATTAAAAACATTTATTGAGCTTACCAAATTTAGTTTTAAGAAGAATTATGGATATTTTTTTAATCATTTTTTTTTTTTTTTCACACTTTGTTGTACTGACCCAATTCTCTTTATTTTCACTTCTATTTCTTTGCTCTCAAATTTATGAGGATGGCCTGAAAAGTTTATAGGTTGACTATGAAAGAGTAATGCTATAGCTGTGAAATCTTGCCTGCATTAATTTCAACTCTTTTTAATAATAACTACATTGTTTATTTCCAGCTAAACTGACATCTGATTGATCAAAGAAGACTGTTCATCCTGTTAGTCAAAAAATGTCAACAGCAGCAGATATGACATCATCATTGCAATACTGGTTCCCAGTCAAGTGTTTTTCATGTTGGGGAATAACTAATAGTCAAATCAGGAGAATAGAGAGGATGGACCACCAGTTCAAAGCCACAGTCACACACACAGCAGCCATTGAAACGAAGGACTTGTGCATTGGAACATTGTCCTGATGAAATAAGACCCCTTTCGTCAATATTCCTGGGCATTTGGTCTTGAGTTGGACATAGTACTCTTCATTGATGGTGTGGCTCTTTTGAAGATAGTCAATAATGACAGTGCCTTTTGCATCCCAAAAAACCGAAGCCATCATCTTCCCTGCAGATGAAACAACCATAGGCTTCTTTGGAGCAGGTGAGGAGAGGTGTTTCCACTGCAAAGATTGTCTCTGGCTTAAAGTGATAAACCCAACACTCATCTTAGGTTAAGAAAACTTTCATGGAAACCAGATGGATCTACCTCAAACAATATTAGATGTTCCTATGATGTTATCAATCTAGTGTGCCTTTGATCAGGTATCAGATGTGGAAACCACCATAAACCTTCATAATGCTAAGTACATTATGCAGAATATTCTCAACTTTCTCACAGAAAATGCTAATAAAATTAGCTATTTGATTTATAGTTAATCACCTGTCATCCATCACCATGTGGTGAACATGATCAATGTTTTCCTTGGTGGTGGCAGTTGCAGGTTGTTCAGAGCTTGGGTCAACTTCAGTACTCCTCCATCCCCTCATAAATTCAGTAGTCCACTTTTACTTGAACATCAGCCCCTAATGTAGCAACCATATCAGTATGAATGTCCTTGGAGGCTAAATCCTTTTTCAGCAGGTACTTGATAAAATCATGATGCCAAATTTTGTCCATTTTTTAAGAGTAGTCACTACCAGTTACATTTGAAGTCTTTCAACAGTCAGATGTTAGTTTACCTGAAATTAATACATGCAAGCTTACACAGCTCTAGCATCACTTCTTCATAGTCAGCTTATCAACTTTTCAGCCCAATCTTGTATAGAGGTAAAATTTGAAAGTAACAAATCCTGAAAATATGACACAGAGTTAAGAACTGAAGAGAAACAAGTTTGGTTTGCAGGTTATGCTGTCTTGGATTTTTTTTCATTATTAAATACATGAACTTCATGGAAAATATTATCAATCTTATTTAAAAAAAAAAAATAAACCAAAAAACTGGGAATTTCGGACTTGTGTTTAAATGTTCGGTTGTATTTCATTGGGGTCTGTTATAAATTTGGGATGATCTGATGAGAAAGATTATTATACACAGATTTATTCAAACTAATATCCTCATCCTGATTGTTATAATCAGTCTTTTGGCCAGCATTATGTTTTAATGTTCTCCAACGTCTGTCAGATTTGCTTTCTTGGAATCTTTCAATCAGTTCACAGGTATAGATTTCTGGCAGACATGAACTTTCATGCCTGCCAAAAACCAATGTCAAGCCAGTTTTTCCCATGACACCACTATTATTTTAACTACTCCTTCTTCATTTACAAGACTAAATTTATATTTACAACATTCTAAAAACTAATACAACTAAAATTAATGCAATAAAATATTTATTATTTACAAATTTTTAAAGAAATGAATATGAAAACAATTTTTTATTCATAAATTTATAAACATTTACTAAACCATTAAAATATATGAACCATGAGTAAATTCTTATTATTTACCATTTTATAAAGTTTGAACCAATTTGTCAAACATTCCAATGGACAAGATAATAAATAATGTAAATAATCTAATAAATAGTGTTTAATATTTTTTTTTTTAATTCTCAAGAACAAAAAAAATGTATAAATTCACTTTCATCATGTTTAGATTATCTTCCAGTTCTAATCATCACCTTTTAAAATCATAAACATTGCTGGGGAGTAGTTAAAATAAAAGTGGTGTCATGGGAAAAACCATCCTTTTGACACTCAGTTTTTTTTGCAGACATGAAAGTCCATGTTTGCCAATTTGTAATGTTATCATTGTGTGGCTAAAAGAAAAACATGAGTTCAAAACGTGGACCTTACATTTTCTTTTGTGATGTCTAAGAGACTGCCCCATTCACCAGCTATTTCCCATGTTTGTAATGCAGGTACATCTGGTCTGTTCATGTGAATCTGCACTTATTAGTTGGGAGGTTACCTCAGCTCAACCCTGCACCTAATTTTATTTAAGGCTATTGAATGCATGCTCTGGGTGGTAAGGCAGATACTGCAGATTATTCTTATTTCACTGCCCTTGTTAGGAGATATCTGATATCAGGTAATTATTTAATACCTGTAGAAACAAGTTAGGTTAATAGAGAATGACACTGAAAGATAAAGTAGTTGTAAGAACCAATGTTCTAATAGCCCTAACATAGAATTAAGCACTACATGGTAGCTTTTGATCAAATTTTCCTCCAGGACAATGGCTTCATGGATATAAGTATTGGTTAAATGGATGTATTTAAATGGTAGTCATTAGTTCAATCTCTGAAATAAACAGTGAAATTCATATGTTTTGGTTCAGTGGGGGGAAAAAAGCAAAAATTAAAGTTAATGAGGTATCTTCTATCATGGATAGTGAAATATCAATCTCCCCTTCACCCAGATTGAATAAAGAGTTTGCTTTTGGTTTACTAAACATGATAAATGCTTAAAGGTCAAATAAGTCAGTGTTAAATATACTGTATATAATAATGCTATTTCCTCATATTAGAAATGGTCAGGAAGGCTGTAATTTTCTAGTTGCTCTTGCCTGTTGTTGTTTTGTTTGTCATTACATCAAATAAGAGCATCAAAGTAAAAATGTTGCCAAGCTTTTTTTCCATAGTTTTCTGTATTAATCATTATTACCAACTATCATTTAGCAGTAACCAAAAGACTTTACAGTGATCCCTTACTAATTCATGGCTCTATTATCACATACTCACGACTTCACGGATTTTTTCAATATATATATAGAAAATATATCATGGAGTTTCTGGAAAATTCTAGAAAAATTGCAATATACGAACATCTAAAATTTCTCATTAAATCCATTAAAATATTAATAATAAATATTATTTCCTAGTCTAGGAACAACAAAACAAGCATAAAATAGCAAAAAAATATATGCAGGGGTATTTGAATTTGTAACTCACATGACAAAAAAAAAGAACCATCTAGAATGCAATGTGCATACAGTACCTGTGTATCCTGTTGTTGAGAAAACACAAAGCATACCATCTCAGTGACAAAGTGCGTTTTAAGACAGGCTGTGATTGGTGCAATGGAGAGAGACGATCTTTCTATTTTGTAATCTGGCCTGAGATTGGTGCTTTGACTGATGCTCAGATCCGTAGCATCTTCCCTTGTCTCTCTCTCATGGTCATTTCACTTCAATCTTTCTCACAGAGCGGTTTACTGTACTAATTTATGTTGTGCTGTGTGTGAGTTTTTTTTGTTTCTTTGCATTGAACTTTGAGTTTTCATCCCCTGCAATGGCTCCCAAGCATGCTGCTTCTTTCAAGGCTGGTACTGAGCCTAAACACAAACAAAGAATGATGACAATCGCTGAGAAGATGAAACTTCTGCATATGCTGAAGGAAGGGAGAACTTTCGCTGCCATAGCCCGCCATTCTAACGTGAATGAATCCACCTTTCACTACATCAAGAAGGACGAAGCTAACATTAGGAAGACGGCTGCCATCATCTTTAATAAGTCAGCAAAGAGAGTGGTTATGGCTCATAATACAACTATCATCCGTATGGAAGCTGCTTTGGCTGTATGGATAGCCGACTGCCGAAAGAAGAACATAGCCTTGGATACGAATATCATCCAAACAAAGGCTAGGAGCCTGTACGAGACTTTCACCACTAAGGAACTTGAGGACGACAGTGGCGACCATGAACAAGAGGAAGAAGATGAAGACAACATAGAACATCCGCAACTAGGGACATCCAGTGATTCACAACCTAAAAAAATGTCCTTTTTCTGTTAACAAAAAGATGGTTTGCTAAGTTTCAGAAATACTTTGGCTTAAAAAGCATTTTCCTGCATGGCAAGGCTGCTTCAGCTGATACGTGTGCTGCTGAAACACATGTGAATGAAACTTTCAAGAAGATTATCTCTGAAGGTGGATATAAGCCCGAACAAGGTTTTAATATGGACAAGACAGGCTTGTTTTGGAAAAGAATGCCATCGTGAACTTTCCTGTACAAAGAGGAAGCAAAAGCCTGTGGCTTTAAAGCATACAAGGATCATGTGACCCTTGTGATGTGTGGCAGTTCTGCAGGATTTTTGTTAAAGCCAGGACTTATTTACAAGTCTAAAAACCCAAGGGCTTTAAATAACAAAAACAAGAATCTGTTACCCATACATTGGATGCACAATCCAAAGGCATGGATAATGAAGATGCTGACCTTTGACTGTTCCACCAGTGTTTTATCCTGCAAGTCAAGGTGTATCTATTAGAGAAGGGCTTGCCATTCGAAATCCATCTCTTTATGGATAATGCTGGTGGCCACACTATTGATCTGTTGCATGAGGGCATTCAGATTGAGTTCCTGCCACCCAACACTACACCACTATATTCAGCCAGTGGACCAGGGGGTTATCAAGGCATTCAAGGCCTTATACAAGAGGAATGTCCTGGCGAGCATGGTTGCTTCTGTGGCTGCTGCCCAAGAAGACAAAGATGAAAATTTTAACTTGAAGATATACTGGTGGCAGTACTGGTTGTTACATGCCTCCAAAATATCCAGAAGGCATTGCAAGAAATGAAGCCTGTCACCACTAACACAAGCTGGAAGAATATGTGGCCCAAAGTTATTTTTGACGACAAGGGAATTACACCTGCCGAAATTCAACACTCCACAGTACAGAAAGCTTTGCAGTTGGCTGTGATCATTGGAGGTGACAGCTTTGCAACCATGACCACGGAAGACATCAATGAGTTATTAGACTGCCACTCCCAGCTGCTAACCGATGCAGACCTTGAAGACTTGACAAAGTTGGCCAGTGAAGAAGAAGAAACACAGCAAGAAATGGAAGAAGTTGTCAACCAAACTGGCTTGAATTTGGAATGGCTGGCCAAGCTCTGCAACCTAGCTAAAGAATTGAAAGAGGGGTCACAGAAATGGGACGACGATATGGTTCATTCTGTGCATTTTTGAAACAAGGTCAACAAAATCAGGAATCACGATGAGATGCTCTTTGAACAGAAAAAGAAGCAGCAGCAATATTTTTGCAGCCTCACAAAAAAGAGCCAGTTCCTGCTGCTACTACTATGGTTTCACCTTTGGAAGAAGTGGTAGAGGTGTCCCAGGAAAGAGCATCGCCGTCTGAAGAAATGTAAAATACAATCATTGGCTGCACAGTAGAAGTCATCATAAGCTACATCAGCATCATTTCTACTGTGCATCATCATTCAAATTTTAATTCAACTTCTTTCATGTTGAGTATAGTAACAATATTTATTTTCTTTTTAATCTAAAGTGTTATTGCTTAACAGTTGTCCTTGTTATTAATAGTGTACTGTAAAGGGTGGGTTGTTAACAGTACAGGGAGGGTTTTAAAAGTCCAAATACACATTAAATTAGTACTGTAAATATGGCATCCCTACTTTGCGGAAATTCAGTTATCGCAGCTGGTCTCAGAACCAATCTACCGTGATAAACAAGGGATCACTGTATTAGTAAAAATATTCTGTGTAAATATTTTATTTAAATTTGTCAGGTTTTAAAATATAGATTAAAAAATGCTTTATGACTATTCAGGACAATAAATGCTTTTCTTGTATTTAAAAAGAATTGTAAAAAGAAATATTCATTTCAAACCACAAAAAAATACAATTTTGAAATTACCCCTCAAATCATTCTTTGTTAAATGTTTTCTCCTTGCAGGCAACCTCCATAAGTTTTGTGTAGTGATTTTGAAATAATGATATTGACTTGCCTAATTTAAATATGAGTACATATAATCCTTTTGCAATTGAAAGTCTTATGACCATATCACATTGAAACACTGGTTCTCATCCAATCACCAAAGTTAAGTAATGTCAATCCTGGTCAGTAGCTAGATGGGAGAACATTTGAGAATACCACATGCTGTAAGCTTAGATATGCGGGTGGTGTAATGAATAATGTCTGACAATTAGAAATTGGAGAACCAAGTTCCAATTCCACTCAGGATAGTTATATTCACATGTGCAAATACCTTAGGAAAGGTATGAATCCACCTCATCTCCCTCCAGCTATAAATTAAATAGTAGGACTCATATCAGAAAAGCATTATTATTATCTCAAAAAAAAATCTTACATGCCAAATATATTTTCTGGTTTTAAAAAACCTGAAAAATATTAATAAGCTGTAAAAGACAAATCAATGAATCTACTACTGAAGGAATCAGTCAAGTATGAGAGCTGGTTTCTCAGATTTCACAATATTATGTTTTAAAAATAAGAGGATGAGCCCAAAAATATTGAATTTAATGACATATAAGACCTAACCCATTTTAAAATGATATATCAAATGTTACTTGAATATAGTATATCAAATGTTACTGGAATTTCATCAATGTTCCCTATTTGGCTCTGTTCAAAAGTTTCTTTTCATGCACTTATTACAAGTTTATGAAATTCTGTTTGGTCACTGGAAAAAGTGGATCTTATATGACAGCTCATTGACATTTAAGATGCAATTCATTGAAATATGTAGCCTGATATTATACACATATAGTGTACATCAGAATGTTTCCTCAGTGATGTCTATTCTGGGGTCATAGAAAGTTTTGGGCCTCCATGACATCAGACTTTCTCTCCGACTGGCTCAGCCGATAGCAATAATTTCTTGACTAGCATTCTGGTATAGCTTCTGCATGAATTGTAACAATATTTGTGCCTACTCAAATGATATCCTTTTATTCAATTCTATGTAGGAATTCTGACCAATCAGAAAAAACTAAATCAGAAAAGATTTCAACCATTACAATTATTTAAGTTTAATATTATTATTTATTATATTATTTTCATTTTTGAATATTTTTGTGAATGTCTAATTATATGTTACTGAAAGGCAAATTTGTATATTTTTCATAGTTGTTCCTGTAGTCCATTACCATATTAAATACAATTAATATAACTTTTGTCTGAATTTCTGGGATGAGGAGTTATCATTTACACTCATCTTTGTTGTTGTTATCAACGTTTCCAGCAATAACTGAACAGTACTAAACATAAGAATATGAGATATTCCTTGACATGGGCAATGAACTGAGAACAGTCTAAATAAAGAGTTCAGTTCATAATTTCCTGTAGGTTACCTGGACTGATATACATCCTGCCTATGTGGCTTGAGTCCTGGGTAAGTTAATAAATTTGTGGGTCTAGATGGGATTCCAAGTCCTCAAATGGTTCAGGTTTTACTCCAGTTTGTATTGGCAGCCATGTTGGGGAGCCTCGTTGTGATTTTTTTGTGTTCTCAAAATGTTCATTTTGTTCACAAGTGTGTATCAACATGTGTTGGTTGAGTTGAGGACTGCTGGAAAATTTTGATTCACAGAGTTCACAGAGAAAAGTTTTCCCACCAACATGCGTAAACAAGTGTTGCTTGCGTTCTGTACTGCGAGAAAATTTAGCTCCACAAATCTCACATTGGAATGGTTTGACTCCAGTGTGTATTAGCATATGTCGTTTGAGAACTGAACTCTGTGCAAATTTTGACCCACAAACTTCACAAAGGAAAGATTTCTCCCCGGTGTGTGTTACCATGTGTTTTCTTAGATCTGAGCCACGAGAGAAATTTGAGTCACAAACATCACAATGAAATCTTTTTTCTCCAGTATGTGTTACCATGTGTTGTTTAAGATGAGAACTTTGAGAAAATACTGATCCACAAACCCCACAGTGAAAAGGTTTCTCACCTGAATGTGTTAACAGATGTTGTTTCAGATTATAGCCAGAGGAAAATCTAGACCCACAAAGTTCGCAGTGATATTTTTTCACTCCAGCATGTAATAGCATATGTTGCTTGAGACTTGAACTTTGGGTAAATGTTGATCCACATTCTTCACAATAGTAAGGTTTTTCTCCTGTGTGTGTAAGCATGTGTTGTTTGAGATGTGCCTTACGAGAAAATTTTGATTCACAAACCTCACATTGGAAAGGTTTCTCACCAGTATGTGTTCTCATATGTCGCAGAAGAATTGAATTACTGATAGCTGCTAGCCCACAAACATCACAGTGTAAAGCTTTTTTTGGTTTTGAAGTAGTCATATTGATTATCTTTTTCCAGGAGAGGTAGAAACTGAAAATAAAAGAAATGTAAATATTTTATTGAGCAGTGAGATTTCAGAGAATCTGCTAGATTCTAGAATGTATAAATTTAAAACTCTGTATTCTGATTGGCTTAATTTAAAGCTGAAGATCAGATTATTTCATGCAAAACAGTTTAAAATTGACACAAGAAAACATTCACAGTACTTACAAAACTATCAAACACTTCAGAGGTGTTTCTTTCCTAAGCACCTATATATTTAATATAGAACGTTATGAAAATTTAAAACTATTAAATTTAGAAAGCAGGCAGAAGAGTATAGCATAGTGCATAATGAAATAACAATACAAAAATCTAAGCAGTCACTTAATTTTACTGACAAAAATCATTTCTAAGTCATTTGGGTTTCTATACTTGGCAATGAGTGAAATGGAAACCATTTCTATATACAAGTATCAAGTCACCTGTGTAATATGGTTTGCTGAAAATGTAACTTTCTGTATGGTTGATGTTGATGGGAATAAACTAAGCTGGTTAGTATATTAGTGACTAATTCTTTTCTGTTAACCAACAGTCTTTGAAGAGACCACTCTTTTTTCTTTTCAGACAGTATACCTGAAGAATATTGTAGAAAGTACCAACTTAAATTTGGTAACAGAGACAATGGGTCAATAGCTTGGAAAAAAAGGAAAACTGGAAATAATGCTTCATAAAATTATAGACACT